TAGATATTTGAAGATGGCTATCTTGTCACCTCTCAGTCTCCTCTTTTCCAAGCTAAACATACACAGCACCTTCAGCCACTCCTCATAAGCCTTAGTTTCCAGACCCTTGATCATCTTGGTTGCCCTCATCTGCACAACTTCCAGTTTGTCAATATCCTTCTTAAATTGTGGTACCCAGATCTGGACGCAGGACTCCAGGTGTGGTCTGACCAAGGCAGAAGAGAGCAGGACTAGTACTTCCCTTGATTTGGACGCTTCTATTGATGCAGCCTAGAATTGCATTGGCCTTTTTTAAATTTTTGGTTACTTTGAGTTGCCAACAGCATTCTGCTGCCTGTGCCTTACAAAGTTCAGCTGATACAACAGCAGCAAAATTGACCCAGTGGGTCTCTTCCTACATTCCCATATGCCCCACAGGACAGATAATCTGGATTTCTGAGAAGGGGGAAACAGAAGGGTTAACTGGGAAGAAAATGCTCAGATGCTTCCGGTCGCTCCCTAGCATGCCCCTACAGGCAGGGACCTCTCTCTTTTTAAGCGCTCTGTTCCTTTGATGGTAGCTTTCTAAATAAATAATAGTTTATCTTTCTGTGTAAGTCTTTAAGTTGCCAATAATGCAATTGTGGCAAAATCTTGAGGGCCATTCTTCTAAGTGGGGAGGGCAATTTGAAGCAAGTGCATTTCATTATGTATTCTTCTGATCAGGGAGAATGATTTGATGCAAATGCACTTGATGATAGAATTGTAGAATTGGAAGGGACCCAAAGGGTCATCTAGTCCCACTGCCTTCTTTCTACCCGGCCTTTTGGCAGACATTGCTGAACTTTGCCATCTGGGAATGGATCTGAGATTGCCTGGCAAATGGAATCTCTCCTACCCCCTCTAAGCTTCTTATCATCATCATCATCATCATCATCATTTATTATTTATACCCCGCCCATCTGGCTGGGCTTCCCCAGCCACTCTGGGCGGCTCTCAGCAAAGTATCAAAACACAGTAATGCATCAAACATTAAAAGCTTCCCTAAACAGGACTGCCTTCAGATGTCTTCTAAAAGTCTGGTAGTTGTTCTTCTCTTTGACATCTGGTGGGAGGGCGTTCCACAGGGCGGGTGCCACCACCAAGAAGGCCCTCTGCCTGGTTCCCTGTAACTTGGCTTCTCGCAGTGAGGGAACCACCAGAAGGCCCTCAGCGCTGGACCTCAGTGTCCGGGTAGAACGATGGGGGTGGAGACGCTCCTTCAGGTATACTGGACCAAGGCTTATCAGTGTCCTTCCTATCCCACTTGACATAAAACTGGTGAGGGCACCTGCGCGGTAGTGCCTGCTAACTCAGGGGGCTATCAGGGAGTTGTGAGTTCAGCACCACATTCTGGTTGCATGGCTTTGGTGTGTCAAAGGCCCATGCACCACACAAGGAAATTCTCTGGGCAAACGCCCTCCACCTCCCAAACAGTTTAACACCAAGTAGTAGTAATAATCAATTATTCCACTGCTGTTCTTGTGCTCATCACTTCTCTCTTAGCTTCAGGATTCATCACCTGTAATATAGGTGTATGGATCAATTCAGGGACATTGTTGCCCTGCCCTCTTTTGCAGTGGGCACTGGATCCCTTGCCCCTTCATCCCTTTAGTGGTGCAACTCCTGCTTTGCATAAAAAGCTCACAAGTTAAGCCCCCAGTGGCCTCTCTAGGCAGTGTTAGGAGAATCTCCCTGCCTGATGGGTCCCTGCCAGTCAGTGTAGGCAATACTAGCTGTATGGACTGCATAGTCTAATTATTGACAGTGCAGCATAATTTTTTTATGCCCTCATGAAAACTCAACAGTGTCTCAGTGCACCTTTCTCCTTAATATATCCATTTCTGTATGTAGTTTCCCTAATACAATGCATTTTGTTTTGTACGTTACAATATGAATTACTTAATGCGAACTTCCCCCTGATATATGCATATTTGTGCATGGTTTTCACTCTGGCCTTTTTGACTGGCCAAAAGGCTGCACTGCAGGATTCAGGGAAACAGAGGTTCTGATGCACATCTCTTTTTCGGTTCCCTTCTTGCTTCGGGAAATGTGAATTGGGTAGGTTTGCATTTACATGAGGACCGAATTCCTCCTGCATCTCTCATTGGCGATGGGTGTTCCCCTTCTCCACCCCCTGCAGAAGCCTTGTGTGTTTCAGTTCCCTGTTCTTCATGGGCATTTGGTGGGGTTTGCCTTGGCAAGCAGGAGGGAGAAGAAAGGACCTATTTATAGAATGGCTGTTCAGTCCATAGATGGTCAAAAGGACAGGAACCGTTGAGAACCCTGCCGTTCTCCTGCCATGGTCTGTTTTGAGAAGGAGCTCTGGGTCTCTCTGCTCAGGTGACAGCTGAATCTTTCCTGACGCTCTCTGGCAAAGAGCAAAGTCCAGGATATCAGCTCTGAAGTGAGTAGCCTTGTAACCCCTGTATGGAAATCCTGCACTTGAAGCACAGTTAAGTGTGGGCAAAGCTCAGTTTGCATTTTAAAAGACAGGGGAGTGGCGGCTCCATTCCCCATCCCAAACCAACAGGAGTCCTGTCGCTTAAACCAAGGTATATGAGAGCTGCCTGCTGGTATTCAGAAGAGGGACGGTGGCACTTTGCATGTGCTCAGAGGCTACTCCCCTTGCTCAGAGAAACACAACGGGATCCAGCCCCCAGGGGATCCACATTCAGTCCTGGTTCCTTTCTGTGTGTACATTTGGAAAGCCTTTACCTATAGCCTCCCTAAATTAAATTAAATTAAATTAATTCTAATTTAATTAAATAAATTATATTTATTTTATATATTCATCAGTATTTTTTAATCCTACCATCAGTCTTGGGGCCGCATGCATAGTTTTCATAGAACCATAATGTTGGAAGGGACCCCAAGGGTCATCTAGTCCAACCCCCTGCAATGCAGGAATCACAGCTAAACTATTCATGACAGACGGCCATCCAGCCTCTGTTTAAAAGCCTCCAGTGAAGGAGAGCCCAGGTACCCACTCCACTTCCTCACATCAACCCTGCAAGGTAGGGGGCGAGAGAGAAAATGAGTGACTGTCCTAAATGTCACCCAGTGAGTTTCATGATTGAGGGAGGGACAGTAACAGTAAGGGTGTGGGCTTTTAGGGGATAATCACCACCCAGGAATTATACTTACCCCCAAACACCTTTCTTAATTTTTATTTTCTCTCACCATTTGCTCCTAAACTGGAAGTGAAAGGGGCTCTGCAAGGCAGGAAGGAGGACTGAACCCAGAGATTGCTCTTCCACCGTGGTTGAAAATGTACCGTATTTTTCGCTCTATAAGACGCACTTTTCCCCTCCTAAAAAGTAAGGGGAAATGTGTGTGCGTCTTGTGGATTGAATGCAGGCTGCGCAGCTATCGCTGAAGCCAGGAGAGCAAGAAGGATTGGTGCACCAATCCCTGTTGCTCTCCTGGCTTCAGCGATAGCCACGCAAAGCCTCTTGAGCAAAGAGGGAGCGCTCCTGCCTCTTCGCTCAAGAGGTTTTGCATTGCTTTCTTGTTTTCCTCCTCTAAAAACCAAGCGCGTCTTATGGTCAGGTGTGTCTTATAGAGCCAAAAATACGGTAATATTTATGAGAACAGAAGGAGAGCCGGCTGGGTCAGGCCAGGGGCCCCTCCAGCATCCTGTTCTCACAGTGGCCAACCAGATGCCCCAATGGAAAATCCTGCAAGTAGGACCTGAGCGCCAAAGCCCCCTCCCCTTCTGTGTCCCCCAGCAATTGGCATTATTCAGAAGCACCCAGCCACCCAGGTTGGTAGCCCCCACTGCCTCCTGCAGGAGGGAGTTGCGTGGCGAGTCCCCCCCCCAAAAAAGTGGAAAAAATGACACATGACACAATTATTAAGGTTAATGGGCTAAATAAGGCCACAACTTTTATTGGTAACAGGTGATGAGCAGTATTGGCTTAGGCATTGGTCCTAACCGACTATATCCGGCTTCAGCCCATCCTCTTGAAGTCCGGGAAGGGTTAACCACCAGTAGGGAGAGTCCTGCTGATGCACATCAACTAGGAACTCCCCCAGGGTCACTGATAGGGGGCGTGCCTTAGGCCCTCACCTCCATAGGCTTCGGACAGGGCTACGCCACCCGGAATCCTTTATCGGACTACCCTTCAATATGCAGGGCAGGTGATGGCATAACCTCCCCTCTTCCATCTACAGAGCAATACCAATGCCTAACCGCCAATACCAAGAAAGTTGTGACGATTTGCTATGAGGTAGGTGAAAACCAAGTGGCTGGTGCCAATTTGCCAAGTGGGAAAATTCCTACCTGGCCCCTCAACGGCGACCAACCAAGGTCCATAGCAAGGTCAAAGAATGAAAACCTTATAGGGCGGAGAAAGCAGGAACAGCTGGTAAGTGGCAAAGAGGGAGATCCCCGGCTGCGTCCTGCTTTAAATAAGGCAAGCCACATGCCCAGAGCCAGCCGATTGGTTGGCCAGGAGATGCCGCGACTGGGAATCCCCCCAATTGCCCAGAGGGGCCGTGAAGCCTGCAACTCCACCTCCTCCGAAGGGCAGAAGTGGCTTTCCACAGTTGGACTTTGCACTGTGTGAAAAAGAACTTTCTTTTATCTGTCCTGAACCTTCCAGCACTCAGCTTCATCAGATGCCCACCAATTCTAGCATTACGAAAGAGACAGGGAAACTTTTCTCTTTGTGCTTTCCCCATGCTATGCATCATTTTATAAACTCCAATCCTGTCTCCTCTTGTAAGTTGTTTAAATATAATACTTACCCATTGATCCCCATTTGATGACACACCCATGCCTGCTACCTCTTGGTTGGGTCGGACAGGTGGGTTTTTCCTCTTGCTGGATCTTCACAACAGCCCTGTGAGGTGGTTTAATTTGTGAGGCAGAGAAGCCTCTTGTCAAGGGTCACCTTTTGAGTTTCAGGGCTTGGCCATCTGTAATCCAGAGTTCCTTCTGACGCTAACACCCGCCCCCCTTCTCTCTTTGTGCCCAGTATGGAATTGTCTTGGATGCCGGGTCTTCCCACACTGCCATGTTCGTGTACAAGTGGCCTGCGGACAAGGAGAATGACACCGGGATCGTTAGTCAGCACAGCATGTGCGATGTAGAAGGTAAGTGTGGCTTGTGCGCAGTTAGGCATCCCAGCCTTCAGGGGGCGCTCTACCTTTACTGCAGCTCCCATCATGCTGTTAACAGAATGGGAATGAATTGTAGAATTGGGGTGTTGGGGCATCTGGCTGGCAGCTTACCTTTAAAAATCATTTTGAAATTAGAGGGTTCTGTCTGTAATTGGAGGCAACAACATTCAGTTCCTCAACAGATGTTGCGGTTTGTTGGCAAGTTAAGGTACCGCAGGTCCTAGGTTTCGCAAGCTACAAGCTGATTACCTTAAATCTTAGCTGGTCAGCTGGTTAGGCTTACGAAAGATCTGCTTGTTGCCACAGTCTGGAACTTGTTAGAGGATCCTCCTTTAACTCAGACCCACCTGTATCTTTTCTGCACCAAGGAAACCTATTTCTCAAAGCAGAATTAAGTCTCACTTTAATTACGCAATTAAAATTGAAGCGATGGTCTGCTCTTGTCCTTGAAAAGCTTTCTGGCGCAGTGACAGAAAATGACCTGCCCCAGGAGAAAGCAACCTCCTGCATTTCTACCTGAGGGAAGATAGGAGAGAGCAGTGACTCATAGAGGGGCAATGGGAACTCTGGTCAGAAATCGCCATTCTTCTTAATAGGGCTCAAATTGCCTCTGAGTAAGTGATGTGGCAGAATTATCTGCAGCCCTGATTGGAAGACACTTGCAAAGATGCAGCAGACAACGGCCTCTCCTGGTCTGCCCCGCAGAGGACCTTAAGGTCCATGAATAACCATAGTTTAGAGGTCCCTAAGGAACTCAGACTACCCTCCACCAGGGCCAGGGCCTTCTCAGTGATGGCTCCAACCTGGTGGAATGCTCTGTCCCATGAGACCAGGGCCCTTCAGGATTTAACCTCCTTCCGCAGGGCCTGTAAGACAGAGCTATTCCACCTGGCTTTCAATTTGAATTTAGCCTGATCTTTTATTCCCCTTCCTTCCCTCCCCTTTTTATGAAGATTACCCGCTCTGGGATCCCACAGCTAATTCTCCCTTGGTCTCCTCGCTGGCCCAAACGGGACTAATTTGGCCAGCTAGCCCTGGTGATCGTCTAATGTTTATTGGACGGATTTCCCCCTCTAAATTGATTTTTGAATTCTGAATTTATTGTCATTCATGTTTTGTACTGTATTTTATGCTATTTTTTGTTGCATCAATTAAGTGTTTTGAATTTGTGGTTGGCTGACCTGAGCCCAGCTATCTGAACTGGGAAGGGCGGGGTATAAATAAAAATTATTATTATTATTAAGAGCACAACTTTGGGATTCCATCTTGCGCAATGTGGCACTTGTTCCTTCTTGGGTCAAACTGCTGGCGCCTGCCTTGGGAGTGCGTTGTGGCGGCTGGCTCTTATCTGGCCATTGTCTGAGCTTTCCAATCTGGCTTTTGTACAGTGGGCATGCCACAGGAGAAGCTGGGTTGGCCAGTCCACCATTTTCTCCCTTTCCCTTTTCCCACGGAGCGCCAGACAAAGAACCAGCCTCGCCCACCTGCTTTGAAATCTTTAGTGCCAACTTCCTTTTCTTTTTTTAAGGCAATGTGGTCTCTGTTCCAGAGCTGGCATCGGCTGGGCAAATGGCACAAAAGGCCCAGGTGCTTGTTTTCAAAACACAAAATAATATGTCACAATGGGAGGCCAGGCAGAGAGCCAGGTGGGTGCTCTGCCCGTGCCAAACCAACAAATGGTTTTGGGATCTAGAGGGTGGCTCAACAGGGCGTGATTCGGCAATGTAAAGGGCACAAGTTAATCTCCTGGCCATTTCATGCTGGCTCTACACAGCTTTGGGGAAAGCTAGGAGGACTTTGGGATGTGGGTGGCGCTATAGGTTAAACCACAGAGCCTAGGGCTTTCTGATCAGAAGGTCGGCAGCTCGAATCCCCGTGACGGGGTGAGCCCGTTGCTCAGTCCCAGCTCCTGCCAACCTAGCAGTTCAAAAGCACGTCAAAGTGCAAGTAGATAAATAGGTACTGCTCCAGTGGGAAGGTAAACGGCGTTTCCGTGCACTGCTCTGGTTCGCCAGAAGCAGCTTAGTCATGCTGGCCACATGACCCGGAAGCTGTATGCCGGCTCCCTCGGCCAATAAAGCAAGATGAGCACCGCAACCCCAGAGTCGGCCACGACTGGACCTAATGGTCAGGGGTCCCTTTACCTTTACCTTTAGGAGGACTTTATCCAAATGGTGGTGTAGTAAATTTCGTCAAACCATGCCACTGTGATGTTTAAGGCAACTTTACTTGCTCAGAGCAGTGGCCACTGGGAACCCACAAAAGTGGAGCCCCCAGCCCCATAAATTATAAAAAAGGTTTATACAGAGACATTCCCTCCATATGGTGGGGAGGGCCAGGGGTGCTGTAATCCTGGGCACATGATTTTGAGGGGGTGCGAGCCAGGCTACCCCACACTTGGATCCCCGCCCTGCCTGCCGCCAGGGGTCCCTGGGCCCTGAAGCCTGGCCTGGCCTTGCTGCTGGGCCCTCCAGCCCCCTCTCTGAACAGCCACCCAGACAGCGTTGGAGTGATTCCCCTAACGATATCATTGCACACACTCTGCTGTCATCTTCTCACATGTAGGCTCCCTATCAATGTAACCTATGGAAGAATCATAGCTCAGCTGACAGAGCACCTGCCTTGCAAGCAGAAGGTTGCAGGTTCAATCCCTGCCAGCATCTCAAAGTAGTGAAAAAATGATCCTATGCTGCTAATTCTTGTAGTAGACCAGTATGAAGTAAGCAGCGCATAAGCGGCACACAAAACACTAACAAACCATTCTACGTTCTAAATCTTATATTAATAATCCAAAAATGGAGAGGACAAGGTACAAGATCTACTACAGAAGCCACAAACAGAAAACTCATTCAAATTGTGTCAAACGAAGTGTCAGCGATGTTACGTTCAAGGGTTAGATATCAACGAAGATAAGATATCAACAAAGATATCAACGCTTGATCAAACTTACCTTTGTTGATATCTACAGGAGCCTGGCTAAAGGAACTTTAAAGACTGAATCTTCCTTTTGGACACAATTTGAATGAGTTTTCTGTTTGTGGCTTCTGTAGTAGATCTTGTACATAGCTCTCTCAATTTTTGGATTATTAATATAAGATTTAGAACGTAGAGTGGTTTGGTAGCATCTCAAAGTGGGGCTAGGAGAGACTCCCTGCCTGAAACCCTTGAGAGCTGTTGCCAGTGAGTGTAGACAATACTGAGTGTAGACAAGACCAATAGACTCTGTATGAGGCAGCTTTCCATGTTCTATGGCAATCTATATACCTAAACAGGAAACTAAGGGCTCATCCACACTTCCGCTTGTCCCGCTGCTTTCCCCCAGGAAAACCCATTCTTTACCACTGAATTGGAACAGACATCAATCAGGTTTCCCCACAGATGAACGTTTGCTCCAAAGAGTGAGTTTCCCCAGGGAAAGTGGCGGAACAAGCGGAAAACTGCTTGGACATGTGCTTTCTAGGCCAGGGACCAGAGGAAGTGTGGGTGAACCCTAACACAGAGAGTCTAATTTCAGATGTTCTTTGGAACGCTGTCTCAAGGGGGTGGCCATGGCTCAATGGTAGAGCATCTTCCTTGCAAGAAGAAGGTCCCAGGTGTTCACTCCTCAGTGGCATCTCCAGGCTCCCTGTCTGAAATCCTGGAGAACCTTCTACCAATCAGTGTAGACAATACTGAGCTAAATAGACCAAAGGCCTAAGCTGATACAAAGCAGATTCTTATGTTCCTGCTCATGCCTGTGTCAATACGGCCACCCATCACACCACACCACACCACCCACCTGCCAACCACTTGACGTCACCATGGCACCAGACGATTGACACCTGCAGAGTTCAGTGGCGGTCACTGTGTGATTGGAGGTGACAGAAGCCTCCTCTGAAGATGGACTTTCTGTGCCATTGGCTGATTGGTGCTGGGAATGCACTTCCAGAGAGGCTCCCTGTGACCAATGACCAACTGGCATGACCAGTACCACCTTCTCCTTTGAATGCCCATCCCCTACTGTGCCCCTAGACTGGGAATGATGGCTTTGTCTCTGGTTGAATCCACAGGTGGTGGCATCTCCAGCTACATTGCAGACCCCTCAGCAGCTGGACGGAGCTTGCAGGCGTGTCTTGACCAGGCCCAGCATGATGTTCCGAAGGAGAGGCATGCAGCCACCCCTCTGTACCTGGGAGCCACGGCCGGCATGCGACTGCTCAAGTGAGAACTCCATAGCCTAGCCTGGCGCCTCGGGGCATTTTTTCATGCTTCTATCATTGCCATGTCATCCTCATCACTGGTTGTCATGGCTGCAGCTCCCCAGGAACTGGCTTTCAGAGGTAGACTGCCTCTAAAGCTGGGGGCTCCAGACAACCATCATGACTGGCTGCTCCTCCTCCCTTGAATTTGTCTAGTCTCTTTCTGAAGCTACCTAAGCCAGTGGTATCTTGTGGCAGTGAGTTCCATCGTTTGCTTGAACCTGCTGCCCATCAACTTAATTGGATGATCCTCAATTCTAGTATTACAAGGCGGGGGAGGAACTCCCCCCCCTCTCTCTCTCTCTCTCTCTCACACACACACACACACACACACACACACACACATTTTTATAAACCCCACTTGGGTCGTCCCACTATCTTAGAAACCTTTTTTCTGAGCCCCAAAGCTTTGGATACTGAAGGTGCTCTAATCCTTTGTTTGCACTCCATGGATCAGATCTATTTCCCACTTGGCTCTTCTTCACAGCATCAAAATTAGACTCCCTAAGGCAGCAGTTTCCTTCCTCTCTGGACAGGTCCTAGACCAAAAGGTACCCAGCTGAGTAGTATCTTTCACACACACACACACACACACACACACACACACACACACACCCCTTTCATGCATTTTAACTTTTGAATATCACATGCATGCTTGTGTGTTTGCAAGTGTGTTTAAAATTTGCAATTGTAACCCACTTTATTATTTTGGAGCATGATTTATCTCTGCCACATAGGATTACACGTTTATTTTATTTATTTTGTTTCATAAAATTTATACCCCGCTTGATTGTAAAACACACACACACACACACACACACACACACACTGCAAAACAGTTCACAAAAAAAGAAAAATCAATAAAATTGTCAATAAGAAAAACAATTTAAGACTTTCGGAAAGTTAAAATAACAATAGAGTAAAAGCAAATCAAAACTTTGCACCAACTCTCTAAACATCTGGGTAGGCGTAGCTGTGTTTTCAGAAAAGCACAGTGAAAGTTCCTGCCAGATATCAAGAGGCAGGGAATTCCAAAGTGTAGGTGCTGCCACACTAAAAGATCCAATTGTTACATTTGCACACGTAGCTCTGATCACAATTTCTCATGCCCACAGTTTCTTTGAAGACCATCACCAGTGCCCAGTGAGTAAGCTGTGTGCACATGAGCAATCAGTGTGTGTGCATTGGGGTTCTAACAGACCCCCAAAACGGTTAACAATATGCTTATGATAATATTTTATTCTCTTGTTAATTATGCTGTTTCGACGGCTCATTTTATATTTGACTTCCTTTCACTTTGAATCTTTTAGATTATATTTTAATTTCCTGTTGCTTTGAATGTTGCTCTGAATGTTTGACTTTCTTCAGCAGTGTTTTATTCTGGATTGTTTTATTTGATGCTTCAGTGTGGTAAACCGCACTGAGGTCCCCCCCCACCTAAAAAATTTAAAACAGCATAGAAATTAAATGAATGAACAACAACATCAACAAGACAACACTGGCCATCCAGTTCAGTTTTGCCTGCTTTGCACTATTTGCTGTTGAGTAGGGAGAGATGCAGGTGGCGCTGTGGGTTAAACCACAGAGCCTAGGACTTGCCGATCAGAAGGTCAGCGGTTTGAATCCCCATGACAGGGTGAGCTCCCATTGCTCGCTCCCTGCTCCTGCCAACCTAGCAGTTTGAAAGCACGTCAAAGTGCAAGTAGATAAATAGGTACCACTCTGGCGGGAAGGTAAACGGCGTTTTCGTGCGCTGCTCTGGTTCGCCAGAAGCGGCTTAGTCATGCTGGCCACATGACCTGGAAGCTGCACGCTGGCTCCCTCGGCCAATAAAGCGAGATGAGCGCCACAACCCCAGAGTTGGCCACGACTGGACCTAATGGTCAGGGGTCCCTTTACCTTTACCTAGGGGGAGTTGAGGGAAGGGCCTTAGTTCAGTGGTAGCATCTGCCCTGCAATCAGAAAGTTCTGGGTTCAATCCCTGTCATCTCCAGGTAGGGTTGTGGGACACCCCCTGCCTGAAACCCTGGACAGCTGCTGCCAGTTAGTGCAGACAGTACTGAGCGAGGTGGACCAATGGTTGGACTCAGTATAAGGCAGCTTCCTATGTCCCCATGTTTCTGCACCCGTGAATCTAGCTGGCTGCTTGGGTCACTGGTGTCCAACTTCCAGCCTGATCTAAACAAATGTTCTTGTTTTTTGGGCAGTCTCACTGACCCCGAGGCTTCGGACAGGGTCCTTGCAGCTGTGAGCTCCACTATGAAGCAGTACCCCTTTGACTTCCGTGGAGCGAAGATCCTGAGCGGAGAGGATGAGGGTGTGTTTGGCTGGGTCACAGCTAACTACCTCCTGGAGAACTTCATCAAGGTAGAAGAGTCTTTCTTTCTTTCTTTGACCCCTTTTTACTATATTAAACGTGAACTGAAGTCATTCACTGCCAGGTGTGGAACAGTGAGACAGTGGAACAGTGTGAGACAGTTCAGTTTCTGCCCCAAAGGCTTTGCATACAATGGTTAAAGCCGGAGAGGTTCCCTCTGGGTTCTGCTGGACTCCAACTCACATCAGCTCCTGCCTGCAGGCCCAGTGCTATGGGGTGAAGGGAGTTGGTCCACCAACATCTGCCAGGGCACAGGTTCCTCATAAGAGAAACTCACCATGCAGAGAAAAAAGCATGCCTTGCAGAAAGGATGAGCATTTGGGTGCTCTAGTAAACTAAGTCAAGGGCCACCAGGCCAGTTCTGTACTTTGAAGGCAGCTCCTTTAAGATGACCATTCCTGTTCCTTTTAATTCAGTACGGATGGATTGGACAGTGGGTCCATCCCAAGAAGAAGACCGTGGGCGCCATGGACCTGGGAGGAGCTTCCACCCAAATCACCTTTGAGACACCACAGTTTATCGAGACACCTGCCAACGAGGTGATGCTGCGGCTGTACGGACAGACCTACAAGGTCTACACACACAGTTTCCTCTGCTATGGCAGGGACCAGATCCTGAAGAGGCTTCTGTCCAAGGTGCTGAAGGTAAGGGAGTAGGGTTGGAGGTGAGACATCTGGAGGCTGCCATCCTAGTACAAAATTTCCAGTGGTAAGAGGCTCCCTCTGGACTTTCCTTCATTGGCTGTCTGCCAGGGATTCTTTAGTTGAGATTCCTGCATTGCAGAGGGTTGGACTGGGTGACTCTCGGAGTCCCTTCCAACTCCACAATTCAATGATAGTACAAACTCCAGGGGACGCAGGTGGTACTGTGGTCTAAACCACAGAGCCTATAGCTTGCTGATCAGAAGGTCGGCGGTTAGAATCCCCGCAACGGGGTGAGCTCCCTTTGTTCAGTCCCAGCTCCTGCCCACCTAGCAGTTCGAAAGCAGCTCAAAGTGCAAGTAGATAAATAGGTACCGCTCCAGCGGGAAGGGAAACGGCATTTCTGTGCGCTGCTCTGGTTCACCAGAAGCGACTTAGTCATGCTGGCCACATGACCTGGAAGCTGTATGCGGACAAACACCGGCTCCCTCGGCCTGTAGAGCGAGATGAGCGCCGCAACCCCAGAGTCGTCCATGACTGGACCTAATGGTCAGGGGTACCTTTACCTTTACTTTTTACAAACTCCAGAGAATCCCAAATGGCCTGGTGTTTGGTTGGTTGACTCAGACTGGTTATTTTCACCCACAACAGGCCGAAAGGTATGTTCTCCAGGTGAGCAACCCCTGCTGGCCCACAGGATACTGGAAGAACTTCACAGCGGCGACCATCTATGACTCGCCATGCACTGAAGCGGAGAAGCCGACCAGCTACTTCCCCACCGCTATCGTCAACATGAGCGGCTCTGGAAATGCAGCCAAGTGCCAGCAGCACGTGGAGAGCCTCTTCCAGTTTACTCCGTGCCACTATTCCCACTGCTCCTTTGACCAAGTCTTCCAGCCAAGTGTCACAGGGAACTTTATCGTGAGTAGCTCGAGGCGGCGGAATGTCATGGGAGAAGGAAGGCCTACTTTGAGCCTTGGCTCAGATAGCAGGACCAGTATTCAGAATACACAAAGTACAGATGGGAAAGGGTGCCTCTGCGCATGTGTAGAGCACATTGCATTTGCCGCCAATTAATCAGGGTCTTGCAAAGGATTTAAGGGGAAGGGCTGCGGCTTAGTCTTAGAGCGCTTGTTTTGCATGCAGCAGGTCTCAGGTTCAGTCCCCAGTGGGATCTCCAGGCAGGACTGAGAAAGACTCCTTGTCTGAAACCCTGGAGAACTGCTGCCACTCAGTGTAGGTGATGTTGCGCAAGATTAACTGGTCTGAATCGGTGTAAGGCATTTTCCTATTTTCCTTAGAGGAAGGGGGGACAGTGACCTGTCATAGTTCAGCCTTCAGCCCTCCACCCTGATCTGGCCAAAACTTCTATGACTACTCATATTTTTCCTAGTTTCTAATCTCCTTCAAATTCTGTGAACCCGAACACTGTAGTTGTTAGATTAAACCATAGCTGCATGCTTTTCAGGGGGCCAACTTGAATAAAATATTTCAGAGGTGGGGGGGAGTCCGCAGAGAAACCCTGCTCCACGTAATAAATAACAAAATGCAGTGCAAACACACCATTTGAATGGCAACCCCCATCAACTTTGGGGGTGGGGGTGGCCCTCTCAAATATTTTATTGGGGGGCTGAAGGGACCTTGGCCCCTAGCAGATGGCTCCTACGGTGCTTTGTTTTGTGTGTCTACTTTTATTGGTCTGTGAACAATTCATTCATTTGGATTTCTTAAATGAATACCTGCCTCTCTGTTTTCTAGTTTCAGGGATTTTGTAAACTACTGCCCCCTACTGGGGAATGTTTGAATAACACCCCATTTCCCCCTTAACAATTTGGTATATTGTTTGCTTGCACTATTGGTCCATGTGGTGTGCATCTTTCCACCTGCTTATGGACCACTGGCAGGCCCCCGTAGACTTTTAATTCTTAAATTTGGAAGGTGGGAAGAATACATGGGCAGAGAGGGGGTTATTTAAGTACATTTATAAACCATGCAGCATTATAAAACAAAATGCATCTCAGTAAGACACCTCCATGAATCTCTTCTGTAGCCGTGGTAAAAATTTTTGCCAAATTAGTCCCTTCCTTCTGGAAATGTTTTCCAAACTCTCTTCTGCATAAAATGCATTTAACTAGAAAACTTAATGGATTCTAGCATTTCCCAAAACTTACCATGACAGTTATTGGCTGTCAGGCCTATTTATGTAATGAAAACAACATTTTGCTATCCATATATTGGCAGCGGCCAACGGGTTTAAATAATAACCTCTGTTCGATTTGGATGTTTCAGCAACTTTGTGGCTGATTAAGCCAATAACTGGGTTTAAACGAATAAACAAAAAACCCATTACAGTCTATTGCTCATGACAGTGGTCTAGCGGGGGGGGGGGAGAGAGCAGGGGGGCTGTGTCCCCAGGCGCAGAATCTTGGGGGGGGAGAAACCAGGTGCCCCCCTCATGTGCTTGGCGTGCGAGCTCCTGTCTGCCAGGTGACCAGGGTTGCGTGGACACAGACAGGTGGCCGCTTCCATGCCAGGCAGGGATGGTGCAGAGGGTAAAGAGACCCTCCGTGTTGTGCCTCCCGTCTAGTGGTGGCAATGGTGAAGGCTGTGTAAGCAGGCTCCATCCCCGCCCTGGGGGGGGTACACACTTGCTCCCGCCCCCCAGGCTCTGTCAGACAGTACTACGACCCTGGCTCATGAGTCCTAACCTCAGCGTACGACCACAAGATATTAAGTAAAATAAGGGCATTAGAAGAGCTTGCAGCCCATGTAGTCCAGCATGGTGTCCTCAAAGTGGCTGAGCAAAATAATCATAATATAATAATAATTTATTATTTATACCCCGCCCATCTGGCCGGGCTTCCCCAGCCACTCTGGGCGGCTTCCAACAAAATATTAAAATACCATAATACATCAAACATTAAAAGCTTCCCTAAACTGAGCTGCCTTCAGATGTTTTCTAAAAGTCTGGTAGTTGTTCTTCTCTTTGACATCTGATGGGAGGGCGTTCCACAGGGCGGGTGCCACCACCGAGAAGGCCCTCTGCCTGGTTCCCTGTAACTTAAAAGTCTATTAGGAGAAGCCCACTAGCAGGACCTGCGTGCAAGAGCCGTCTCCCCTTCTGTGCTTTCCAGCAACAGGTCATGGACTGGCTGGATGCAGAGAAGTGGTGGGAGGCAGGGGAAGAAGGCTCAAAGCCAGGGAATTGGTGTCAGGAGGACCCTGAGTGGTTAGAGGGAGAAGAGGGAGCAGACTGGGAGGAGGAGGTGTCAGAAGCAGAAGGGGGGACTGGGTTTGGTGAGAGGGAAGAGGCGGTGGCAGAGCACAGATCAGACTCCAAGGCAGTAGCTGATGCCAGGGAGTCTCCCACTCCTGCTTTGGCCAGCAACCTTCCCCTCTGGTCTCCTAGAACACACAGAGAAATGCAATGTGCAGAGACACGGCCTGAGACTGTGTGGGAAATTTCCTGGAGAGGAGGAGTCCTAGTGGGCCCCTGGGAAGGGGGGGGGAACCTTCAGTCCTTGCAACTGCTTCATCAGGGCAAGACCTCCTAGAAAGCGTTGCTGCAACCACTGGGCTGGAGCTGTGGTCTGTCTCCTTGAATGAAAAATTAACTTCACTGGTCTCATATCATTTATAGTACTGTTGCTGACCTACACCTGACTCCGGCCCTGACACAACTGGTATTCAGAAGCATTTCTGCCTCTGACTGTGGAGTCAGAGCATAGTCATCATGGATAGGGGCCACTGATAGCCCCTCTCCTACATGAATTTGTCCTCCTTTAAGGCCATCCAAGTTGCAAACCAGCAGTGCCTCTGTGGGAGGGAGTTCCATGGTTTAAGTCCCTTTTTTTTAAACAAAAAAAGAAATAATGAAATGAAATTGATTATTATAATGACCAGGAAGTGCAATCAGTGGTATGCCACACCCTCCTCACCTTCTTCTTCTCCTTCCTCCTCCTCCTCCTCAACAGGCCTTCTCTGCCTTCTTCTACACTATGGACTTCATCCAGTCGCAAATGAAGAGACATGTGGCCACCCCAAGTGACCTGGAGCAGGCTGCTAACGAAATATGCAGCGCAACTTGGTCCGAGGTGGGTTTCCTCGTAAGGGGGGCTTTTCCAATGCAAACTGAAGCACGCACCAGACATTTAGGTCCTGGCGGTTTAAGAAGAAATCTGATATTTCAAAAGATTTCAGTTTCAGCTGTAGGGTTGCATGGTGTATAGTGCAGATACATCCAACCTTCTTAGACCCAGGACCCAGTTTTACCAAAACATGCATTTGGGGGACCCATATCTTAGTCTTTTATCTTATATTTCTGCTGTGATCCTCCTTGGGTCAGGATGTGACCCACTGGCAGGTCCCAACCCACCAGTTGAAGACCAGTGGATAGTGTTGGGGCAGGATCCTGAGCTGCGAAGCTCACATTGAGTGAGTGACTCACTCACTCTCTCACTCACTTAGCCTAACCTACTTCCCAGGGCTTTTGAGACAAAATGGTGTGTGGGTATGGGAGGGAGAGGAGGAAGAGGAAGAGGAAGAGGGAGAGGGAGAGAGAACCTTGTGTGCCACCTTGTGTTTCTTGGGGGAAAGGCAGAGTGTAAGTGGAGCAAGGACCATACCTGTTGTGATTCCTTCATCACAGGAGGTTGAAGTAGGTGGCCCTTTGTCTCCCTTCCAGCTCTTCAATTCTGTGATTCTATGGTTGCTTTCCTTCAGGACCAGGAAAGAGGCAAAAACAGGGACAAAAGAAAGATACAGCCATGCAAAATTGAGGAAAGGGCAGAGGGCTCTGCAATGCCACTTTTTGGATAACTGGAGATGTCCTGGAAGCTGGGAGGTTAATTCTGTGGGTGACATAACCGGGATTAGAAGACAGCTCTTAACACAGCAATGAGGGATCCTTTTCAGCCAGATGGCTGCATTTCCTCACAGGAAACCCCCAGGCCAGTGAGTCTGGGATAGGAGAATGTGTTGACCAGGAGGAGTACCCTGTGAGAGCCAGGAACACCCTCCCCTCAGGCGGGACAGGACCCAAGAAGGTTGGGAGGGGGCAGTCAGAGTTGTGCTTTGCATTTGAGAAGAATATCAAGCCTTTTCTCTTCCCTCCTCTCTTCCTGCCATGCTTCTGTAAATCTAGCTTCTTGAGAAAGCACCAGGCCAAGAGAAGAGGCTTCCCGATTACTGTTCAGCGACCACCTTCATCTACCTCATCCTCACCCGGGGCTACAAATTTGACAACAGCACCTTCCCCAACATCGCCTTTCAAAAAAAGGTAAGAACCTAAGAAAAGGCTGCTGGATCCAGCCAAGGGACCATCAGGTCCAGCATTCTGTTCTCACAGTGACCAGCCAGGTGCAAGCCGGGCCCCAGCACAAGAGCCCTCTCCCCTCATGAGGTTGTCAGAAGCTGGTATTCAGAAGCATTCCTTCCTCTGACGATGCAGAGCAGAGCCACCCAAATTGGTGGCCATCACTTCCTCCTGTGGGAGAGAGTTCCCTAGTTTAACTAGGCTCTGTGTGAAAAAGGACTTCCTTATATCGGTGCTGGATCTTCCGACGTTCAGGTTCATTGGATGTCCACGGGTTCAGGCGTTATGTGAGAGGAATGAAAGCTTTTCTGCATCCACTTCTATCATGTCCCCCCTTACTAGGCTTTCCTCTAAACTAAAGAGTCCTGGCCACCATGCCATTAAAACCCTATGATCTCACTTCAAACAGTGCTGGCTTCCCCAAAAGAACCCCGGGAACTGTAGTTTGTTAAGGGTGCTAAGAGCTGTTAGGAGGCCCCTATTCCCTGTCTCAGAGCTACAATTCCCAGAGTGGAACTTGAAGGTGGTGGAACACTGGGAATTGCAGCCGAGGGGAATGGAGGGGTCTCCTAAAAACTTCCAGCACCCTTAATGAACTACAGCTCCCAAATAATTCTTTGGGAGAAACCAGCACTGTTTAAAGGAGTATCATGCCCCTTTGAATATATGGTGTGAATGTGGCCCAAGTCTATAATACATACACAAAGTGTGCCTAAGCACATAATTCGAATTTAGATGTAGACCTAGGTAGAGAATGATCTATATTTTAATCAAACATGTTCATTCTGTTACCGCCTAAGTTTATCTTTTGCTGCTTGCTATCTGTCTCAGATTCCAACCAACGTGTTTCAATAACCAATATGAGCCTCCCCACCCCCAACCCCCCAAAAAACCCAGTTGTGCTTTTGGTAACCTGTATTCTGCCTGTAAAAAAGCAGTTATGTTCTTAGCAACATGAATTCTTCTGGAACATGCAGGGCCCTGTTGTTTGATGCTGATGCAGGGAGCTTTGAGAGGGGACCTGCTGTTCACTGTGGTCCTCGAGCGAGGGAGCGCTTTGTAGTGGAAGTAGCCACGGGAGAAGCGTTGCCAGTTGTGTGAGTCTTTTTACAACAGTTTCTTTGTTCCTACATGCAGGCTGGGGACACATCCATCGGCTGGGCCCTGGGATACATGCTGAACCTCACCAACATGATTCCGGCCGAGGAGACCGGCTTCTGGAAGGGCACAGCGTATGGCCCCTGGGTTGGCGTGGTCCTCCTCTTTGTTGCCATCATCCTGGTCACTGTGGCAAGCATCTTCTGTCTGCTGAGATCCACCAGGGGACGGGGAATGATGTAAAGGGCAGTCCTGAGCAGGTGGGAGCCCAGTACGGTGGGGTTTATGTGAAGATGGCGGGTCTTCCTGGGCCACATCCAATGTCCAGCCTGACCCTATGGCTTGTTGGCTTGGATCCCCTGTGGAGATCAGAACCCATTCCTCACATGCCCCACACCCCAAACCACAACTACAGCCTAGAGGGAGAGGAGATGGAGAGTGATGCTGGACAAAGGAACTGTTCATCTGAGGCTTGTGACGAAGCCCTTGTTTGCATCCAAGAGTGCTGCAGTCTGAACGATCGACTTCCCTCATTTCCTTCCATTGTTGAAGAGCCAGTGAAAATCACAAGGAGTGGTTGTGGTTGTTCTTGTTTTCTTTTCATAAGGACTCCAGCTCAAAGCAAGGTTTTTCTGGACTTCCACCCACTCCTCTGCTCTGCTTGCATATCTGTTACTTATTGAAGCTCAGGGACTTATTGAATCTGCCATGAATGCTTTGTTCTTGGTGAGGCTCCAGCCCTGGCAAGAAATGTTGGGTGGGGGGATAGCTCAACTTTTTGCATTACAAATAGACCAGTGTGGCTGAAATCTGGCACTGTGGATAAGCACCAGGTGTGGCATAATTTGCACCAGTGATGTGGGCACCTGTGGTTCTGTTTTCTTTGAGCTCCCCCCGGGCCACCTTACCATTGAGCAAAGCGAGGCAGCAGGTGCGGGGGGCTGAGAGGCAGCAGAGAGACCTGCGTGCAGCTCAGCGGTAGAGCCTTCTTTACATGCAGAAGGTTCAGTCCTTGGTTACACCTCCATATAGGACTGGGAATGTCCCCTGCCTGAACCCCTGCTGTCAGTCAGTGTGGACAAGGCTGAGCTAAGTGGATCAGTGACCTGACTCAATAGAAGGTCGCTTTCTAAGTTATTGGCCCCTGAGCCAACTTGCTGCCCATGGGAGCTTTGGAGAATGCTGCCATGGTTGAAGTAAGATGGGACAGCCACTCTAGTCAACTATCCAGGAGTGGGATCTCTCGCCTTTTACCTCAGGCAGCAAAATGTCTGCCCCCCACCTGACTTCTTAAAGCTTCTTATGGTGGTCTGCTAACATTGCATTCAAGAGTGTCATCCAAAATTAAACACCAAAGACAAATCTTGAATTTGAAGCCTACCCATAGTAGAGACTTCAAACTGGTTTAGTCTTCAGTCCTGAACAGTACTCACTTACCTGGGCATAAGCTCCACTGAACTTAGTGGGACTTGCTTCTGCGTAAATGTGGGTAGCAGGAATGCACCACTGATTTTTTAAAACAACTATTATTGTTATTGTTATTTGCTTGCTTTCCTGGAAACTCTGAACTGTGCAGATGGAGGTGAAAGTGGGTTGAAGGTCTCTGAAGGAGGAGCTGCAATTCCAGGAGAAGGAGATCACTATGTTTTTCATGAAAAATTGCTCCGCCAATATTCCAGGTGGGGCAACTGGGAAATTGCATTTAAATATACTGTACTAACTTGATTTGAAATAATTTGATGAGGGGTGGAGAGAGAAAACATCAAATTTGCCCCCACATGTGGCTCATTTATTCCAGGATCCTGGTCTCACAGTGGCTAACTGGACCTTGGTGCAAAACAGGCAAGCTTTCATTGGTTTCTTCTCCTTAGCATATTCTGCACTCTTAAAACAAAATGCAGCTGTATGTGTGTGTGATATATTCCATCTGTTTTCCTTTTAAAGAAAGACACTGCACGTCTTAAAAAACCACACAAATAAAAACATCTCATGGATACCAACATTTGGCGTGCTCAGCTGAGGAGTTAGTTATTGATCATTGTGAGCCCCTGGTTTGCCTCCAAGCAGAGACTTCAGCATCAGGAGAGTGGCAAAATATTTTCTACCATTAGAATCCATTGCTTTTAGGGCTGGTTTCCAGACAGATTCACTGGTGTTGTGGAAGAAGGAGCCTGTCAATTTCAGTTGCTCCCCATTTCTCATTCCCTTCATTATGTTGAATTTGCTCCATTTTTGCATGTTTGTGATTTGTTTATTAAAAAACACATTAAAAATTCATATGCATTTGTGTTTCGTTTCTCCTAACAAGAGATTTTTGAACACAATCTTGCCTAATAAAATGCACTGCTGAATGCTACTACTCCAGACATTTCCCTGCTGATGATGATGATGATTTATTATTTATACCTCGCCCATCTGGCTGGGTTTCCCCAGCCACTCTGGGCAGCTTCCAACAGAATATTAAAATACAATACAGTGGTACCTCGAGTTACAGATGCTTCAGGTTACAGACACTTCAGGTCACAGACTCCGCTAACCCAGAAATAACTCAGGTTAAGAACTTTACTTCAGGATGAGAACAGAAATCGTGCGGCTACAGCAGCAGTGGGAGGCCCCGTTAGCTAAAGTGGTACCTCAGGTTAAGAACAGTTTCAGGTTAAGAACAGATCTCCAGAACAAACTAAGTTCTTAACCCAAGGTACCACTGTAGTCTATTAAACATTAAAAGCTTCCCTAAACAGGACTGCCTTCAGATGTCTTCTAAAAGTCTGGAAGTTGTTTTTCTCTTTGACATCTGGAGGGAGGGTGTTCCACAGGGCGGGTGCCACTACTGAGAAGGCCCTCTGCCTGGTTCCCTGTAACCTGGCTTCTCGCAGGGAGGGAACCGCCAGAAGGCCCTCGGCGCTGGACCTCAATGTCCGGGCTGAACGATGGGGGTGGAGATGCTCCTTCAGGGATACTGGACCGAGGCCGTTTAGGGCTTTCACGATCAGCACCAACACTTTGAATTGTGCTTAGAAATGTACTGGGAGCCAATGCAGATCTCTCAGGACCGGTGTTATATGGTCTCGGCAACCGTTCCCAGTCACCAGTCTAGCTGCCGCATTCTGGATTAGTTGTAGTTTCCGGGTCACCTTCAAAGGTAGCCCCACACAGAGCGCATTGCAGTAGTCCAAGTGGGAGATAACTAGAGCATGCACCACTCTGGCGAGACAGTCCGCGGGCAGGTAGGGTCTTAGCCTGCGTATCAGATGGAGCTGATAAACAACTGCCCTGGAAACAGAATTGATCTGTGCCTCCATGAACAGCTGTGAGTCCAGAATGACTCCCAGGCTGCACACCTGGTCCTTCAGGGGCACAGTTACCCCATTCAGGACCAGGGAGTCCTCCACACCTGCCCGCCTCCTGTCCCCCCAAAACAGTACTTCTGTCTTGTCAGGACTCAACCTCAATCAGTTAGCCACTATCCATGCTCCAACCGCCTCCAGACACTCACACAGGACCTTCACCACCTTCGCTGGTTCTGATTTGAAAGAGAGGTAGAGCTGGGTATCATCCGCATACTGATGAACACCCAGCCCAAACCCCCTGATGATCTCTCCCAGCGGCTGCATGTAGATGTTGAAAAGCATGGGGGAGAGGACAGAACCCTAAGGCACCCCACAAGTGAGAGCCCAGGGGTCTGAACACCCATCCCCCACCACCACTTTCTGAACACGGCCCAGGAGGAAGGAACAGAACCACTGTATAACAGTGCCCCCAGCTCCTAGCCCCTCTAGACGGTCCAGAAGGATGTTATGGTCGATGGTGTCAAAAGCCACTGAGAGATCCAGCAGAACTAGGAAACAGCTCTTACCTTTGCCCCTAGCCTTGGTTGGTTTCACTCATCCAAGCAGCCTGTCCACATCCTTGGAGGTAACAGATTGGAATTGATCCCACGCAACTTGACTAGACAGGACTCTAGCCCTCTCCTGAGTGGTTGCTGAACAACTCCCAAGCCTGCTCCCATGGTGGAGTCTACCTCTTCCCAAATCTGAGCGACTTTATGTGCAAAAAAATTTGCAAAATCATTGCAGGAGATCATGTGGCCCATACTGGGCCCCGATGTATGTGGGTGAACATATCAGACGACACAGCGATTCTTCAAACAGCTCTTCTTTATTCAGAGGCCAGAACAGAACTGAACTGAAGGGCTCAGTCAGCCTGCTTATATAGAGCTCCAGTACCACGTTACTGTAACAACTTTCTAAAACTATCCAATCACTGAACATCACTTTCGATCCTTCATTTGCATGACTATCTACAGTATCCCCCAACTGGCCCAGGGTGAGAACTTCAGTACGTAACACAGGTGGTTCCGCTAAATTGCGAACCACCTGAAAGAGTGTCCTGCTGCTGTTTTCTGCAGATGCAATAGAGGCGGTGAAGAAAGTCCTCTTCACTGTCGCTATCGCCACTTGGTAGGCTCGACACTGAGCTCTAACCCGTGTCCAGTCAGCTTCAGAATGAGTTATCTGCCACCGGCGCTCTAGCCATCTCAGTGAGTGTTTCATTGCCCTCAGATCCATGGAAAACCATGGGGCTGTCCGGGCTCCATGCAATCGGAGAGGGCGCTTCAGAGCCAAACAGTCAGTAGCCTTGGTTAACTCCACATTCCAGCGGGCCACCAGCGAATCAGCTGAAAGGCCATCAACATGGGATAAAGCATCCCCTACTACTCTCTGGAAACCATTTGGATCCATTAAGTGGTGGGGGCGGACCATCCAAATCGGTCCCACCTCCCTGCAGAGGGGAAGGGTTGTGGAGAAGTCCAGTTGCACTAGGAAGTGATCTGATCATGGCACTTCTTTTTACTTAGTGTCAGATCACCAACATCCATAGAGGTGAACACCAGGTCCAAGGCATGTCCACGGTTATGAGTTGGGCCAGACTTATTCAGGGACAGCCCCATGGAAGCCATGCTTTCCATGAAGTCCCAAGCGGCCCCTTGTAAGGTCGTGTTGGCAGGTAAAGTAAAGGTAAAGGTACCCCTGCCCGTATGGGCCAGTCTTGCCAGACTCTAGGGTTGTGCGCTCATCTCACTCTATAGGCCGGGAGCCAGTGCTGTCCGCAGACACTTCTGGGTCACGTGGCCAGCGTGACAAGCTGCATCTGGCGAGCCAGCGCAGCACACGGAACACCGTTTACCTTCCCGCTGGTAAGCGGTCCCTATTTATCTACTTGCACCCGGAGGTGCTTTCGAACTGCTAGGTTGGCAGGCGCTGGGACTGAATGACGGGAGCGCACCCCGCCACGGGGATTCGAACCACCGACCATGCGATCGGCAAGTCCTAAGCACTGAGGTTTTACCCACAGCACCACCCGCGTCCCTCCCACAGTGCCACCCGCGTCCCTCGTGTTGGCATGAATAGTCCTCAAACTATGACTAAACCTGCCTCCTCGGTAATGACATGGTCTGGTCTTAGCTTAACTCCTCCTCCTTCCTGTGATCACTGAGATCGGTTGTCCCAGTGCATCCCCCCCCTGTAGAACCTGCCCCAGCCATTTTGTTGGCTGGGACCCACTTCCAGGCAGCCCTGACCCCTCCCCTTAAGAACAAAATAAAACCTAAAACAACAACAACACACACACACAATAAAACAATACAAACCAAAAACAGTAAAAATTACAAACATACCAAAATTAAACACATTCCCAAACCTGACTAAACATCCATTCCACCCCCCACACCAAAACCAAAAATTTTAAAGGGGAAAAAAGAAATTTTAAAAACATTTTTAAAAGAACTCTGCGCTGTTCTGAGTCCTCCTGGGCAGCAGTGGCGGCAACCGTCCTTATGATGCCTATCAGGCCCTGCCCTGGGCCAGGTGGTGAGTGGCAGGAACGGGGCCATCAGGCACTCAAGCAGGGGAGTCCTCCTGGGCAGCAACAGCAGCAGCGGCAACCGTCCCTGATAATATTTGGTTGGCAAAATGGATCACAAAGTTTAGAAAATATCCCATGGATTTTGAAAGAGAGCTGTGCTTCAGTCCGTGCCCATGACTCGGTTCAGGAATTAGTTCAACTGTGAACTGAAACGTATTTCCCCATCCTCTCCTAAGCAGATACCTTTTGCAATTTGCAAATGTGTGCCCTGATTTGGGGTTTGCTCCAAGAATGCGCTTCTAAAATCCTCAGAATGCTGTTGATGGAATGGCTGAAGGGTGAAATGCAAAGCCCAAGTAGGCGCTCTTCAGGCCCCTGGCCAGGGATTTGGGTTAGGGTCTTATTCTGTAAGCTGGTGGTGCTATACGTTGAACCTGGAACCTTTGCCTGCAAAGCAGGTTCTCAACCACAGACCCTTCCCAACAAATCAGGTTACAATTTCACAGTGGGAAACCTTTTCTGAGACACCAAGGGCCACAATTCCTCCACAGTCAACCTCCTGTGACACCACATGCCAATGGTGGGCAGGGCCAAAGACAAAAGTGGGAGGAGCAATGGATGTGACTTTTGCCCCTGGGTGGTATTCTACATTCTAAGAGGTTTTGACACATGTATGGATCTCTCCAGTGTGGTGTAGTGGTTAAGAGCAGTGGATTCGTAATCTGATGAACCGGGTTCGATTCCCCACTCCTCCACATGCAGCTGCTGGGTGACCTTGGGCCAGTCACACTTCTCTGAAGTCTCTCAGCCCCACTCACCTCACAGAGTGTTTGTTGTGGGGCAGGAAGGGAAAGGAGAATGTTAGCCGCTTTGAGACTCCTTAGGATAGTGATAAAGCGGGATATCAAATCCAAACTCTTCTTCTTCTTCTTGAAGGCACATTCCTGCCAGGCAAATAGACTTTGAATAAATAAAATTAAACAAAACCAAAAAGTGGGGGAGGGATGTCTCAGGATGACCTTAGCCTCTGGGCAGTGCGGCAATTGCTTTCAGACAAATTTGAAACTGACATTTAAGATGTGGTGAAGGATTTGTCCAGTTGGGCTTTAGGTACCTCTAGATCTGAAGCTGGTGTGGAGGTTTTTGGCCATAAGATGGCATTGTTATGTTACGCTGTAGGAAATGAACTGTGATTTAAGAACGGGTGGGCTCTACAGTCTAGCGGTTTTTGAGTTGCTGCTCATATGTAGCAGGTATTCCTGTTTTAGGAGTGGGGTGCATTGTGGGTAACCCTGATGGTGAAGCAATGTCCCAGCTTGCCTTTGATAGCAGAATGGTACCACTTTTATAAATAAAAAACAATGCATTCCTTTTCTTATTATTGGATTTGTTTTTATCTTGCCCTTCCAATG